TGAGAAGCAATTGTTTCTTTTGCCATAGGAGCTAGTTTTGGGGAGTGGACATTGTTACATGATCAGCTGTTACTCACAGATAAAGAGAGTATTGGGAAAAACAAGATCCACAGCAGTGACCCGAAATCCAGCGGCAGTTAGAAAATCGATAGCTCTTTATTTTCCATAACAGGTACCCATGGCGAAGCTGTCTTCGGTTATGTAGCTCTCGGGAATACACATAAATGAACTAACCGCATAGAGACAAGCGACAATTATGTTCCCTTTGTCTTCAACAGGGCTACCTGACGTTGCCACGTCAATCATAGTAAATGTACCACATGCAGGTTTCATCAGTTTTCTGATGTTCTTCAGAGCTTCTGGTGGATTGGGCACATCGTGAAGGACATTTGCACAGTACACCCAGTCATACCGCTCCTTAAGCAAGCTTGTAGGATAGCACACGTCAATTGTAGCGTATTTAACGTTGGGGATATGGCCAAGGTTAGCTTTCAGTTGATAGATAAGAAAGTCAACGTTGTCCGATGCTGTGAAGGTACTCTTGGGAAACATCAGCGCAAACTTGGCTAGCAGACGTCCTCTTCCGCATCCGACTTCAAGGGCCTCAATGCCGTTCTCTGTTGTTTAATTCAGAAAACATTTCACTCGGGTAAAAAGAAGGAATCGTGATATGATCGACAAGTTAGGTGAAAGAAGGGTTGGGGGGGGGGGGGGGTTGTGGAGTGTCCTGCACTTTTGATACATTACCTTCTTTTGATCTATAGTAGGTCTTTGTTATTAGCTGCACTTCAGATGTGTTTAAAAGACGTTTAATAATAACACTGTGTACAAATAAACCGTGGGAAGGGGGAGAAGATATCTAGAAAATAAATTTCTAAGAAACATGAATGTTAGAGATTATACATCCAACAGGAAGACAAATCCTTCTTCTTCTGTCGCATTATCTTGTTAAATAAAGATAAAGGACCCTTATCCACACCTGGATAATTTTCGGGCATATAGGGCTAGACCTATAAATTACAAAATAATTGCACTGGGGGGAATATGTAGGTTAATATTACACCAACCACCTCTACTTACCAGCTACCCACTCAAGACTGGGTCACCTTAAGCCAATTTTATTTTTGTAAAAAGTTTGGCTCCGTCAAAAACCGAACCCACGACCTTCGCATCCGAAGGCGAGAGGTTAGTCGCTACACCACATCGACTCCTTATCTTGTAGGAAACTGACACACTAGAGTACATCAAGAAAAGGAAGGTGTAGAAGGAGAAGAGATAGACAGAACGAGAAAGAGACAGAAAGAGACAGAGTGAAATAAGAAGATGAAGATGATAATGATGAGCGAGGACGAGGTGGAGGCAGAGGAGGAGAAGTAGGAGGGGGAGGAGAAAAAGAACAAGAAAAAGAAAAAGAAGAAGAAGGAGAAGAAGAAGAAGAAGAAGAAGAAGAAGAAGAAGGAAGAAGAAGAGAAGAAGAAGAAGAAGAAGAAGAAGAAGAAGAAGAAGAAGAAGAAGAAGAAGAAAGAAGAAGAAGAAGAAGAAGAAGGAAACAAGAAGAAAACAAAAATGAAGAAAACAAAGAAGAAGAAGAAGAAGAAGAAAGAAGAAGAAGAAGAAGAAGAAGAAGAAGAAGAATAAGAAGAAGAAGAAGAAGAAGAAGAAGACGAAGAAGAAGAAGAAAGAAGAAGAAGAAGAAAGAAGAAGAAGAAAGCAGAAAAGAAGAAGAAAGAAGAAGAAAGAAGAAGAAGAAAAGAAGAAGAAAATAAGAAGAAGAAGAAGGTAGAAAAGACAGATAGAAAGAAAGAAGAAAGAAGAAAGAAAGAAAGAAAGAAAAGAAAGAAAGAAAAGAAAAGAAAGAAAGAAAAATTAAAGAAAGAAAGAAAGAAAGAAAGAAAGAAAGAAAGAAAGAAAGAAAAAAAAGAAAGAAAGAAGAAAAGAAAGAAAGAAAGAAAAGAAAGAAAGAAAGAAGAAAGAAAGGAAAGAAAAAGAAAGAAAGAAAGAAAGAAAGAAAGAAAGAAAGAAAGAAAGAAAGAAAGAAAGAAAGAAAGAAAGAAAGAAAGACAGAAAAACAGAAAGAATGAAAAAAGCAAGAAAGGAAGCAAGAAAAGAAAAGAAAGAAAGAAAAACATCCACAGTAAAACACACAGACGATAACAGAACCATTACATACAACGGAGTAAGAGAGGAGCAGAAGATGTTCTTGAACAATATTTGCTGTTGTAAACGATGACGACTGTTTTTAAAAAAAAATGGCATGAAGCTGCTTGCAACATCTATAATTTTTGTAAATAAGTCCGAGTATGGGACGCTATTTTCCGTTTAAAAGTCCCACCCGAATGTCGTCGGGGCCCTAATTATAACCTAACTTTTGAAAAAGTTTTCTAGGACTTATGCTTGTGCGATTCTCATCCGAATGGTGGCACTTTGTATCACTTTGTGTTTATCGCTCGTTGTGCGGCCTTGGTGGGGTTTAAACGTCAGGCAGTCTGACATCACCCATCTGGTGCCAGCTGATCTATAATATTGTTAGTCTGTCATCAAATGATCAATACGACTACCGGCCAAAATGGAGGATAGACTTGGCAAAATGTTAAGCTTCGACGAAATATTTTTTAGCTTTCGACAGCGCTTTTCTATTGCTGTTTCCACTTACGGACGGGTTCTATGGTTTCACTGCCAGAGCTACTGAGTTTAGTGATTGGTTGCGACCCTGTTAGCTGTGTTTTTTTCCTGTGGAATGCCTTTAATTTATACATCGGTTCTGTGGTTTTCAATTTGGCCGGCAGCTGGTGTACGTGTGAGCTAGTGAAATACCTTATTTAACAATTCTACGTCTGTATAGTAATCAACTTTTTCCCGCCACCCCCCCCCCCCCCCCCCCCCCCCCCACACCCCCCCGCACCCCCCCCCCCCCCCCCCCCCCCCCTCGACTACTTCCATCAACGACAAATTGCCTTTCTGGTGGAGTTTGTTGGCCTTGGCGCCTCTACTTTACTGCGTGCGCATATTTCTGGATTGTTCAGGGACAAATTGTGTGTTTACCAGTTTTTCAAATGCGACAGTGAAAGACGTTTTTATTTATTTTCACTGATACAGGAGCAAAGCAAGTATGGGGAAACACTTTTGCGTTGATGGTTAAATCTCGACTAAAACTACGACACTATTATAAGCATAGTCCTTTATCCATACCGGTTTAAAACTGTGTTTACCGCAAGAAATAATGTATTTACTAATTTATGAATCCTATCATACTAGGAACACATTTTCATTCTCTGTCTCCTGCAGTAAATGGGTTAATATGTAGAAGCTAAGTGTTCCGGTAAAAAAAAAAAAAAAAGTAAAGTACCCTTAACACGCCCTTAAGCGTATAGGGCTTATAGGGCAAGACCTATATTTTTATAGACCAATCGGCCCATTATGGGTGATGTGGTCAGCATCATGCCGGCCGCCTTTACTTCCCGGGACTGCACCTGCTTTCCACTCAAGGCTGAGTCGACCTGAGAGCTAATGTCATTTTTGAAAAAGTCTGGCTCCGCCAGGGAGCGAAGCCAAAACCTTCCGATCAGCGGCGAGCGTAATGTTCCGGTATTACACTAGTAATACACGTTCTTCTTTCGTTGTCATGCATCCCTCGTCGACCACACATACATATACATGTTATTTCCCCTAACCTGGTGTCTTCTCTCAGATTATGTTCATAAATGGTCTTCAGAATGGCTCCATTGTTCAGTACGATTGCGCCTGCAGAAAATAATATTGTGGATCCTCGTACGTTAACATAGAAAACACACATACGCACACTCACACATAAGCACACATTTTTCTTACCCATCTTTTCTTTCAATCCGCTCGTATTTTTTAGAATGCTATCCACATAGTCGTCCAACAGGTAATTTGTTGCACTCTCTAAAAAATCGTGCATCTCACTGGAAAACCTGGCACCTAGTTTGTAAAAAAAATATACCTAAGTATCAAGTAATATTAATTACTCTTTGAGTCCTAGGGGGTTTAGCATCACAGACCCAATGGGTAGTAAAGAGAGACTAAAATCGACACATCATGGGTTCATTGGGCTTCTAGGTAAGACTTATAAACGAATGATGCGTTCCCTGGGACTCAAAGAGATAGGAACAGATCTGGGCTCAGAAGGGGCGATGACATAGTTGCTAGTGGTATTGCCTGCAGCCACTGTCGCTCTGCAGTCCAATCATATAGGGATTTTATATTTGAACTTTGCCAAAACGATCGATCTCCCAAAAAGTGGATATTTAGGAATATCCAATAATCAGTTGGAAGCCGTCCCAATCTGGGACTCATTTTTTTTTTTTTTAATTTAAAAGCCCCATCTCAACTGTGCTCAGGGACCCTAAAACAACACAACGTATGGTTTGAAAGGGGTTTCTGGGACATGTGCTCGGATGATCCTCATCTGAATGGTGGCACTTTGTGTGTCACCCGGTGTTTGTCGCTCGTTTTGCAGTCCTGGTAGTGCTGAACAACAGCTACAACATTACTAGTTGAGTAAGAGCTATACACACAAACATACCATACATTTTGTGTGTAATCTATTCTACGAATGACGAAGATTATAAAAATGAACACATTGACAAAGTGATATTTTTGACATAAATTGGAAAAAAAATGCCGTGTAGTGACCCCTTAATAAAAATGTTAATTTCCCGATGTTGTTAGCTAAAAACTCGGAAACTACTGAACCGATTGCTTTCAAATTTGCACACAACGTTGCCTTTGACTCAAAGCGTGATTTTTTGTCAGAAAATCGCACAAACCAAGAATGACGTAGCTCCAGCAACGCTTGAGTGTTTGGTAGCGTAGTTGGTAGCTATTCTGCCTATCATGCGGGTGACCCGCGTTCGATTCCCCGCTAGGTGATATTATTTTTTTAGCCCTTAACTGGGCGGCTGGCACGTTGTGTTGTGATTTATGGCTAGGCTGCGACATCTACGCCTTTTTCGGTTGTGGGGTTTATAGCTAGCCTCCGACAGCGACGATGTGATGCTCAGTGGTCATGTCACAGATAATCTTCGTTCGCCCTCGAGAGGGCCGTTGGCATGTTATGTTGTGGTTTACAGCTAGGCTGCGATATCTGACCAAAAACT